ACATAAAATCAAGCTGCGAAATTAACCTTTAAGAGTTTTATTCCAAAAAGGAAGGAATCGGATTATCCTGTGTTGTACTGTATGTACAGTACACTGCTGTTATTGGACAAATTAAACTAGTGTGAGTGTGTTTTAAGAGCGTTTATAACGTCTGTGGGCCAAAAGTATCTACAGTTGAAGGAATACCCATAAATAATATAAATATCATAAAAACATGTGGTTAAACCCACTTCAGTGTTTTGCATCATTTACACATCATAATATCTGAAGCATGCTGAGGCTTTGAGGGATAATTCACTTATCATGTACTTTTCTTTTCTTTCTTCTTTTTTTAACAATGAGCTAATTGTATTAGCGTTGTCATACTGTACAGGGTAAGGACAATACTTTCATGAAATGCATCGAAGCCGAGGATAGTTGCAGGTTTCTGTGAATCGCATCATTATATTTTGTCCTTCGGGTAAATGCAAGTGGACTTCTGCATTCATTATTTTATATGCATTGTTTACTAATTCATTGTAATATAAAATGGACTTTCAAGGATTGTAGTGATAGAGTGATTATTAATTTCTAGGCTGATATAATGCCAGATCAACGTTTAGGTTCTGTTTTTTTTGCTCGCGAGATTTGAGCTGTAATAATTACTCAACTACCAGATCATAAACGCCAGGGTTATGGATACCATATGGCTTGGATATCAGATGATTATCAGCTCCACTAATGCATCCAAGATACACCAACAATAAGGCTTTCCCTATAAGGTGTATTTGTATTATTTGAGGAGATCAGGACTCGCACCTTCAATCTCATTTCATTGATTTCCAGTCTGATATATGGAAGTATAATGTGTTCAGTACTGACATGAAGTTTAGTTCAACGATTAAGTTAAGCTGATTGTCTTTGACTGTTACAACATGTACAATTCGTGTAAATACAAGTTTCCAAAGACTGTTTTTTAGCATCTATATTCTGGAGAATAAGTGACATTGTTCTAGATGAAGCTTTGAGCATGCGACATGATGTTGATCCATCAGATGTGTTTCACATAATCAGATGTGTTGCTGCTAACGAAAGACTAAGCGATTGTCATTCATATGTATGAAACAGCTGCTCACACAGTCTTGCAACCGCGTTATGTTTATTTTATTTTACAGACGATCCCAGAAGTACTGGAATCAAAGTTTAGCGTTTTCTATCTGCACACTGATGTCTGTGGTACTGACCAAAAATAGAGTAAATCATCTTTGGACACTAATCTAGGCTGGCTGTTTTGATGCCGCGATGTTTTATTCACGTCCAACAAACATTGCATTAGGTAACTAGATAGGGCACTCAAGGCTTTAGTCATTGGATTAAGAGACACAGAATAAGGCTTTAATATGTGCTTTAACAGCCCATATGTAATATACATGCTAATAAGCAATAAATAGTGTTCCCTAATCAAAAGTGTTAACAAATATTTAAAAAATCAGTTAAACTGTCTGAGTGAATCCAATCAGTAATGTTTTTCGCTGTCATTGTATATTAGTTCGCATTAGTCCACATTTTACAAGTTTGCTAATGATTCAAAAAAGTTTCCAAATACAAACATAACTGAACATGTCGGTCTAATAAACTACATTTGTGAAAAAGTGAAAAATACTTTTAAAAATAGAACTTATTATCGATATAATATCTGAAGTGAATATAATTGTTAGGACACTAATTTGAATGTTAATGGCATATTAATGAAACAGTAATATAGTTTGAACTGATATTAAATGCAATTAGCTGGATCTATTTATGTATTTTACCCACTTAAGTTCTGTAGTTGCAATTTAGGACATTTAAAATATATTAATATTTTGTTACACATCAAAAAAAAATTATAAATAAATAAAAAGTGTCCTTAAAGCACAACAGATTATTAAAACCTAATGATTTAAAATATACTTGAAAGTAAAATGGTAACACTTTACTTAATGCCTTTATGTATAATGTATTATAAAGGGTTATTAAAGACTTTCATGCATTATAATTATTCATAATGTGCATCGTGCTTGTCATAAATAATTATAACCCAATTTTTAATTGCATAGTGTAACAGTGATTTGATGTGTTAATAATGTATCAACTTTGTTACGATTATTCATGAGGTTGTACAATGCAATATAAGGTGTATTACAAGGCATAAGTCATGCATTAAAACTACTTTATAATGTGTTATACATAAAGGCTTTTTAGTAAAGTGTTACCAGTAAAACCTTTTGATTTGACAATAACAAAGTGCACTTAAAAAAATTTACTTGCACTTAAAAGTGTACATAGTCATGAAACTGTACTCTCTTTAAGTACACTTAAGTGGATTTTTCAATAGTGTATTATTTGCAAGTACAAATTTTTAAATATAATTCTGAGATTATTTCAGTGCAATAAACACACTTCTTCTTCAGGTATCCACATAACGCATTTCGCTTTAA